CATCACTAATCATCAGAGAGATGCAAATTAAAACAACAATGAGGTATCACCTCACACCTGTCAGAATGGCCACCATCAACAAATCATCAAACAACAAGTGTTGGCGAGGGTGTGGAGAAAAGGGGACTCTAATACACTGCTGGTGGGAATGCAGACTGGTGCAGCCGCTATGGAAAACAATATGGTGCTACCTCAAAAAATTAAAAATTGAACTTCCATTTGACCCAGTGATCCCACTCCTGGGAATATACCCTAAGAAGCCTGAAACACCAATCAGTACCCCCATGTTCATAGCAGCACTATTTACAATAGCTAAGATCTGGAAACAGCCCAAGTGTCCACCAGTAGACGAATGGATAAAAAAGCAGTGGTACATATACACAATGGAGTACTATGCAGCGGTAAGAAAGAAAGATCTCTTATCCTTTGAGACGACATGGAGGGACCTGGAAAGTATTATCCTAAGTGAAAGAAGCCAAGCAGAAAAAGACAAATACCACATGATCTCACTTATATACGGAATATAATGAACATAACAGTCTGAGGAATACAGTAGACCCAGACACATGGAAGTAAGGCACAGACTGACATCCCTCAGAAGAGGGGATGGGGGTGGGGGGTGGGAAGAGATAAACCACAGAACTTATATGCATGTATGCATGACCAATGGACATGGACAACTAAGCCGGGGACAGGGTGGAGGGGGGGGCGGTGCCAATGGGGTAAAAAGGTAAAATATCTGTAACAAAAAAATAAATAAAAATTCTTAAAAAAAAAAAAAAAAAAAGGGAAAAGAGAAACATGATACAGGTGGATCAAACAAAACTCAAAAAAATTAGGTGATAGATTTAAAGTCATATACATCAACAACTCTGTAACACATTAATGAATAAAATACTCCAAGTAAAATTTAAAAAATAAATAAATAAAAGTGTTCATTTTAAGATCAACAGGACAGGGATGTCCATTTTCACTGCTATTATTCCTAGCCTCAGCAGTCAGACAAAAAGGAGAAATAAAAGACATCCAAATTGGAAAGGAAGAGGTAAAACTGTCATTATTTGGAGATGACATAATAATGTATAAAGATTCTACCAAAAAGAAAAAACAAAACAAAACTAGAACTAACAAATTAATTCAGTAAAGTAACAGGATACAAAATAAATATTCAGAAATCAGTTGCAATTTTATATACCAATAATGAACTATCAGAAAGGGAAACTAAGAAAATAATCCCATTTATAATTGCATCAAAAAAATAAATAAAATACCTAGGAATAAATTTAACTAAGGAGGTAAAAGTCCTATATCTGGAAAATTATAAGACACTGAAGAAAAAAAACTGAACAAGACACAAATAAATGAAAGCATATACCATGCTCATGGATAGGAAAAATTTACACCATTAAAATGTCCATACTACCCAAAGCAATCTGGAGATTCGACACAATTTTTATTAAAATACCAATGGTGTATTTCACAGAACTAGAAGAAATAATCCAAAAATTTATATTAAACCACAGAAGACCCTGAAAAGCCACAGCAATCTTAAGAAGAACAAAGTTGGAGGCATCACACTTCCTGATATCAAACTATACTAGGCTATAATAATCAAAACACCAATGGTACTGGTATAAAAACAGAATAAAGAGCCTAGAAATAAATCCATGGCTATATGATCAATAAATACAGGGTTGGGCAAAAGTACATTTACAGTTGTTTGTATGTAAAAAGAATACAATAATTAATAAATAATAATACAAGAATAAACTCTGTGTACTCACAACTGTAAACCTACCTTTGCATCACCTTGTATTTGACAAAGGAGGGAAGAACACACAATGGGGTAAAGAGAGTCTATTCAATAAATGCTGTTGGGAAAATTAGACAGATACATACAAGAAAGAAAGTGAAACTAGACCACTCCCTTACACCATACACAAGAATAAACTCAAAATGAATGAAAGATTTACATGTAAGATTCAAAGCCATAAAAATCCTAGAAGAAAATATAGGCAGTAAAAAAACCTCAGACATTTCTATAGCAATATTTTTCCTGATATATCTTCTTGGGCAAGGGAAACAAAAAAAAAGAAAATTGGACCACAACAAACTAAAAAGTTTTGGCACAGCTAAGAAAACCATCAACAAAATAAAAAGAGACCCCACTGAATGAGATAACATATTCAATAAGGTGTTGCTATCCAAAATTTATACTACTCAACACCCAAAGAACAAACATGGCCATTAAAAATGTGCTGAGGACCTAAACAGACACTTCTCCAAATGGCTAATAGACATATGAAAAGATGCTCAATACCACTAATCAACAGAGATGCAAATGAAAACCACAATGAGATATCACTTTATACCTGTCAGAATGGCTATTATTAATAAATCAACAAACAAGTGTTGGAGAGGTTGTGGGAAAAGGGAACCTTTGTGCACTCTTCGTGGAAATGCAGATTGGTGCAGCCACTATGGAAAACATATGGAGGGTTCTCAAACAATTAAAAATGGACCTGCCTTATGATCCAGTGATTCCACTTCTGGGTATACATGCAAAGAAACCCCAAACACTAATTTGAAAGAGTAACTAATTTGCACCTTTATGTTCATTGCAGAATTATTTACAATAGCTAAGATATGGAAGCAAACCAAGTTCCCATGAATAGATGAATGGATAAAAAAGCAGTGGTACTTATACAGAATGGAATATTACTCAGCCATAAAAAAGAATGAAATCTTACCATTGTGACAGCATAGATGGACCTAGAGGGTTTTAAGCTAAGTGAAATAAGTCCGAGAAAAACAAATACCATATGATTTCACTTACTATATGTGTAATCTAAATAATAGAATAAAAAAACAGACAAAATTGAAACAGACTCATTGATACAGAGAGCCAACTGATGGTAGCCAAAAGGGAGGTGGGTTGTAGGGGCTGGGTCTAAAAGGTGAAGGAATTGAGTACAAATTGGTAGTTACAACATAGTCACAGGGATGTAAAGTACAGCATAGGGAATATAGTCAGTAATATTGTGGTAACTATGTATAGTGCCAGGTAGGAAAACTTTGTAAAGTATGTAATTGTTTATCCACTATGCTGTACACCTGAAACTAATACAAAATGATATTGAATGTAAATTGTAGTTGAAAAATAAAAGAACAACAAAGCTGGAGGCATCACACTTACTGATTTCAAGCTATATTGCAATGCTATAGTAATCAAACAGTATGATACCGGCACTAAAAACAGGCCTATAGATCAGTGAAACAGAATAGGGAGCCCAGACAGAGCCCATCACATATATGGTCAAGTAATTTTTGACAAGGGTGCCAAGAACATACAAAGGGGAAAGGACAATTTCTTCAATAAATGGTGGTGGGGAAATTAAACAACCACAAGCGAAAGAAAGGAACTGGACCCCTGTCTTATTCCATTCACAAAAATTAGCTCTAAATGAATCAAATATTTAAATATAAGATCTGAAACCACAAAACTTCTAGAAGAAAACATATGGAAAAGATCCTTGACATCAGTCTTGGCAGTGAATTCTTGGATAAGTCACCAAAAGCACAGTCAACAAAAACTAAAATAAACAAGTAGGACTACATAAAACTGAAGGGTTGCACTGCAAAGGAAACCACCAATAAATTGAAAATACCTGCAGAATGGGAGAAAATATTCTTTTTCCAGGTTCTAAGTGTTCAGTTTTGTAATTGACAATGCTTACTTCAACTTGGTATATACACCTTCTAAATATTCTAATATGCCCCCTAGGGAAGCATGTCTCTCTGAAAATGATTCTTGTAGATTCTATCACTCTAATGATGCAATATCTAAGATCAAATAATTTTTTATTGTTTGACAGCTTCATATGTTAATCTTGCTTTCAGATAAAACTTCTACATCATTTCATAGGTTATTGTTAACCTTTCTCCACTGTAGCTTCGTGATTCATTTTCGATAAAAGCGCTAGATCTTGTATCAACCCCTATCAAATTTCATCTTGATAGTTTTAGTACGTTGTTCCTTTGGTTTGATGATGCTCTTCGTTGCATTCACCATTCTTTCCAGGAGAGTGCCATCCCTAAAGTTGATGTATCTATCTATAATAGAGAGTCAAAGGAAGTAGGAATGTTTAAGGTAAAAATATCTTGTTTACGGGGTTCTCTCCTCTGGGCAGAAGTCATTTCTGTGGCACCTGAGTGTAAGTGTACAATCAAGTAAAACATTCTCACGGCTGCTTTCACTCCCTTGGTCCCACGTTCTTGATAGGACCTAACTTTGCACATTGACCATAAAGTGTCTTGCTTTGTCAAAGGCAGCAGAAAAGTGTATAAAAGTGTTGTTCAACTATTTATAACTTTTCACATATTGTGTTGTTAAACGAGGCATAGACAATGGTGGTACTTATGGAAAGTGAAGCAGAGAGAAGTTAAGTAAACACTTAACTAATAAAACCGAATCCAAATGCAGGCGCTTGGCTGCAGAGCTCTCTCCTGAAGGATTCACCTACTTCGTCAAAATGTAAAAATTCAACTTGAAAATTTCTACATGCCTTACAGTGAAAGACTACATGTTAATGGGTTAAAAATTAATGCAGCAGATTTGTGTACAATTCAAGTTTATTATGCCTACTTTGACATTCACAGTGAAAATCATACCTCTGTTTTGTCATTTACCTTCGAAACAAATTTATAGCACATGTGTCATAATCATTTCCAACTCTTTAGGGAATTTTAGGAAATTTCAGCTCAAATATTAGAATTAAGGATTACAAATACAGCCAAGACTAAAGAAGCTACATTCTACATGTTAAAAGAAAAAATGTACAAATATTGATTCCACACATACTTTGGTGGAAAACAAACGTTCAAGTTATTCTCAGTGGCACAGGGAGAGAGTCGGGGTCAGGACGGCAGACCGCTGTCAGGTGACGTCTCAGGGACCCTGCGCAAGAGCCAAAGTACGATTAAACGCGCGCATTGCGCGTCTAGCTGTCCCAGGTTAACTGGATCGCTGATGGGCGCGCCGCGTACGCCGCATGAAATTCTACGAAGACCCGGTGTGAGGAGGCCACAAAGGGGGCTATGTTAGTGTCCTAAAATAGGGGGGGGGAAAGAAGTAATTAGTTATATTTTTCACAAAATTTCACAAAGTTATATTTTTCAAAAATGTTAGCATCATAAAAAGCAGTAAACAATTTACAGCAAAACATCATATTTGTCTAAGACATAATCTTGCTAAGAATTAATGTACCTACTTTATAAAAGAATATTGCTGGAGTTAGGGTGCTATGGATACAATTTCCACTACTGGGGTTGGGGGTAATGAAAATGTTTCTAAATTGATTGTAGTGATGATAGATACACAACTTTCAGTCTATTAAAATGATTGGATTATATACTTTAGATGAATTGTATAATATATGAATTACATCTCAGTAAAATTGTCATTAAAATCGAATTTCTAGCCCTGGCTGGTATGACTCAATGGTTAGAGCATTGGCCTCAAACCAAAAGGGTCACAGGTTTGATTTGTAGTCAAGGGTGCATGCCTGGGTTGCAGGTTTAATCCCTGGTCCAGGTCAGGGTGTGCAGGAGGCAGTCGATTGATGTGCCTCTCTCACATCTCTCTCCCTCTCCCTCTCTCTCCCTCTCTCTCTCTCTCTCTCTCTCTCCCTCCCTCCCTCCCTTTCACTCTCTTTAAAAAATCAATGAAAAAAATTATTCTCCGGTGAGGATTAACAACAACAAAAACATTGTATTTCCAGTTCAAGTTTATTAATATTTTAATTTTTCTGATGAAAATACATACTTATATTTGTAACTAAAACAATCATATGAATAAGGTATGCTACTCTCTCCCCTTGGTAGCTGTAGTTTTCTTTGGGGATTTGTGTTTATATCCTTTCTGTGGAACAAGGTGTGTTTGGGGTGGGGCTAATATATGGATCTCAGCTTTCTCTCATTTCCTCATCATACATTTAACAAATATTTATCCAGAGACTCCCATGTTGCAGGCATGATTTTTTAGCACTGGGGATATAAAAAATGAGCTAAACAGACAAAAGGTCTTGCTCTCATGAAGAAAATACATTCTAACAGGAGGAGGCAGACTATGAGCTAAACATGTCTGTGAACTATGCAATTGGTCGAGATTGTCCTGGAGTTTCCAGTTTGGGGCCTGCTCCTCTGTTCTGCGGGGCCTCACTCTATCAGTCCTCCCCAGGAGTCAACAAAACACAGACATTTCCAAGACAGGAAATTATTCAAGTGAGGGCAGCACAGAGAATTTTTTTCCGAAGAGATACATCAAGGTACATACAATATGGCATATTCCCATGTGAATGCAATTTTTTCTTTCCATTTTAATCTGCTCCCAAATTTCCAATTATTATTTTATGTTGACGAACAGGTGTGAACAGTTAACCAGTTTTTAACTCTCCTTTGATTCTCCCAATTTTTCCTATTATTCTTTCATGTTTAGATTTTGTAACGTAGATTAACAATCTAAGAAGTGACTTTTGCCCTCACTCTGGAAGTAAACTGATTTTATTAGACTTGAAATGCTAAAGAAATTAGTTGTATCTGTAATTTTAAAAAGAAAACAATTACACTTAAAAGGATGTCCAAATCGCCCGGCCAGTGGCTCAGTGGTTGAGCGTGGACCCATGCACCAAGAGGTCACTGGTTTGATTCCCGATCAGGGCACATGCCCAGGTTGTGGGCCCGATCCCCAGTGGTGGGCATGCAGGAGGCAGCCAATGTTCTCTCTCATTGATGTTTCTCTCTCTCCCTTTCCCTTCTTCTCGCTCTCAAATCAATAAAGAAAAAACAATTAAAAATAGTAATGTCCACATTCATCAAAGAAAATGTAACATATGGTAAACAACCACAATTTTAAAAAACTGACATATCTAGCTATGGACTTCAGTTTAGTGGGACACTGGTTTAAATGCCAGTTAAGTTCTCCCCGCAGTGCCCCAGTTTCCTTCTATCTGCCAAGTCCAGGTTATCCTTATTCTTTCCACACCCTGGAATTGTCACTGTGGGGAGCAAGTAGGGTTGATGTTTGAAAGTCACTAAAAACAAAACAAAAAGCCATGTGGATATAATGTAACGGTGGTGTTAAAATGGCCTCTTTTCCTCTCTTTCAAAATGTTTACAAATTTCAACTAAATGTCTCAGACCTAGTCAGCTTCTAAATCTGAAATGTGACACATTGACTGGTTCTCTTTTCTGTGAATCCCCTGTGAATAACGGTGATTCAGTATCTACGGGCCAAGTGACTAAAATTGCATTCCAGGTGATTAACTCTGTATATAAAGATAGAGCTGCCAGAGAGTTTTTCAAAGTGTTGTCTATAAACCAGAGAGGATTCATCAGATAAATTAGGCTGTACCCATGCAATAGAATACCATCCAGTGATTAAATATGACACACCAGTGTTTTTATTGGTATGGTAAGAAGTTAATGATATTTTGGTAAGTGAAAAAAAGCATACCCCCCACAAATATAAAATATGTGTGCATATGCAAATATACTCAAGAAAGGTGTTTTTGAAGAATACATGGGAGAATTCCCAGGGCTTTGGAAACATGTATTTATCTTCTGATAATTCTGAAAATAACATTTATCAATTTTACAAATAGTGGTATTTTTAAAGATAAATATCTAGATTTCCAGCTGAGGTAATTCTCTGTCGAGTTTGATTAGAAAGACCAAATGGCTAAAGAGTGGAACAGAGAGGGAGCTGGTCTCCCATCAGCAGTCACAGTTCCCTTACTTGAGAGCTCTGTATCTGCTATCAGTGCACACAAGCAAGGCTGAGTTCCTGTCGGAAATCTAACTTGATGTTTAGGGAAGATCTAGTCCATCAGAACTTTACAAAACTGTCAAACTACTTGTCACTGGACCCATCTTTAATAGCTGTGTCTTTCTTAAAGAGTTCCCACAATTTTCAGCAACAAGTAGATGACATGGAGCCAGGTGTCCCAATTTTCTAAAGTTCTAATCACGCAGAATCACACATGGTATTCAACCTTGAGTGGGGCAGTGAAAGGGAGCTTTTATTTTATTATTTTTTCAAAATATGTTTTTATTGATTTTTTAGAGAGACGGGAAAGGAGAGAGAGATAGAAACATCGATTGGCGGCCTCCTGCACGCCCCCAGGCATGTGCCCTGACCTGGAATTGAACCGGGACTTCTCAGTCCACGGGATGACACTCAGTCCACTGAGCCACACCGGCCGGCAAGAGAGCTTTTAAAAAACAACATGCCATGGCTCATCCCCCAGAAACTCTGATTTGGTAGATGTGAGTACTGGAAGTCTGCTATGTAATAGCTAACTGTAACTGCATAGGTGATTCCTATGTAAAAACTGTAAATAACTGCATAGGTAATTTTGATGCACAGTTGAGTTTGGTAACGAACTATATCACTGTTGATTTAATGCAATGCCCACTAGATGGCACTCGTGCTCCCCTAAATAGAAAGAAAAGTCAGAAAAGTGTACCGAATATGGAAGAGTACATTGTATTTTGCATGTGTCTGCCTCAAAAAGTGTGTACTGTTACTTTCATTATTTAAACATAATAAATGGGAATTTGAAAATCTTGCTTTACTCACCGTGCCGCAATATGGTCCAGCGGGGGGAGAATTAACATCTGGTCCATCATAGAGTATCAGATAGTTCTGGACACAGTCTCCAGGATCGTCAATGCTAATGAAGTAAAAGCTGACAGTGACATGTCTTCCAGCAGGAGCAATGATGGCCCATTCGCAGTGAGTGTTGTTTGGGTAAGTGCCCGGATAGCCCGGGCTGGTGAAGGAGCCGTGGTCTCCATAAAGAGTTCCACCACAGCCTGTAAGAAATAATTGCAGGAAGTTTGATTCAACAAAGAAGAAACGAGCTGGTAAGACAATAAGATGGGGCTGTTGTTTCCTTAGGGTGCTGAGACCCTCTGCAAGAATAGTGGAGGCAGAAACCCTTTTCCAGTTTCTCCTTTGGGCCAAATCCCTCCCATTCTCTCACCACCTGGCCTCCCCCTTGTCTCCCCCACCCCTTTCTCCACCCTATGTTCCTTCCCCTCTCTATCATGACTTAGAGACAGCTTCTTCCAGGTCTGTCCCTTGCAAATGGTGGGTTGCTAACACAATGGGAAAACTGAGAACTAGATTAAATAACTGAAGGAGAGAGTCATCAAAGTTGTTGTGTCCTTTTGATGGTAGAGTTCTCCATAAGCAGTGAGTTCTTGATAATGATGTGAGTGAAGTAAATTAAGAGTGAAATTTTGGGGCTGAACAAAATAGAACGTTGGAGGTTTGGCAGTAATTATTATAAAAGTGACTTTACTGGGCTTATAACAGACAGTTCCAAGATTGACATGAAAGCCAAAAGAAGTAAGTGTTGGTGTTAATTTGTATATGAAAACTATCATTATTTAGATCAGATAGCCTTGGAGATCTGGATATGGCTCTGCACAGGAAGAAGGTATATGGCGTGACACATAGCTGGGTTCAGAGCACTAGAGGCTGGTCCTGCCTCTGACACAATGTAGCTGTGCATTTTGGGCAACTCATTCATTTGGTATTGTATGTCCTCATCTGTAAGATTAGAGTATTGAAAGTCATCTTTAAGTATCTTTAGGTGCCAAGATTCCATTACCTGTGATTGTCTAGATAAAACACTTTTCATGTTCCTCTATTTAAAATGTTATTTTTATCATTCTTATTTTGAAAGTTTTCAGGTATTTTGAGGACATGCACAATGTAGTCTTTCTCTCTTGAGCTAAAGGTACTGGCATGACTTAAATTTCATTCGGTTATTTGATAAACAACCAGTCAAAGATGCAGAAAGGTACTTATTGCCCTAGAAAAGCAACTTACCTCCAGGACTGCCAAGAAATGACAGGGGCTGCATGGGGCATGGCTGCGTGTGTGTGCACAAGGGTGTGTCGGTAGTGCAAACCAAAAGTGAAAGATAGGACAACAGCAGATTTACAGAGGAATTTAAAAGATCTTTATGAGCCTGGCTGGTGTGGCTCAGTGGTTGAGCATCAACCCATGCACCAAGAGGTTGCTGGTTCGATTCCTGGTCAGGGACTGATCCCCAGTGGGGAGCATGCAGGAGGCGGTCATGATGAGCTCTCTCATCGATGTTTCTATCTCTCTCTCTCCCTCTCCCTTCTTCTCTTTCTGAAATTTAAAAAAAAAAAAAAGAGAAAAGAAAAGAAAGATCTTTATGCCCTGGCTCGTTTTGCTCAGTGGTTAGAGCATTGGTCCTCAGACAGAAGGATCTCATATTCAATTCTGGTCAAGGGCAGGTACCAGGATTGCAGGTCAATCCCTGGCCCTGATCAGGGTCGTGCAGGAGGCAACCAATCGATGTGTCTCTCTCACAACACAGTTTCACTGTCTCTCTCTTTCCCCCTCCCTCCTCTCTCCTTCCCTTCCTCCCTTCCGCTCTGTCTAAAAACCAATGGAAATATATCCTCGGGTGAGGATTAACAAACAAACAAAAAAATCTTTATACTTTATCTGTGCTTTATATGTAAATATATATTCTCTAATATATAGTATATACAGAAATGAGTAAAAGAATTAAAAAGAATCTCTGTACTTTCATGGTTAAAAAATCTCTATTCTTGCCCTGGCCACTTTGGCTCAGCAGTTAGAGTGTCGGCCTGCGGTCCAGAGAGACCCGGGTTCGGTTCCCGCTAAGGGCATGTACTTCGGCTGCAGTTTGTTCCCGGCCCTGTTGGTTTGTGCGGGTGGCAGCCACTCAGTGTGCTCCTTTCACGTAGATGTCTCTCTCTCTCTCTCTCTTCCTCTCTCTCCCTCCCGCTCTGTCTGAGCAAAAAATGGAAAAATGACCTCGGGTGAGGATAAAAAAAAATCTCTGTTCTTATCAGAAGATAATCAAGTATACAGATGGTTAAAAAGATATGGTCATTTTTAATGGCCTTTTTCTATTAGCACATTATGTTTTCATCCCCTACATTCCTTTCCTGTACAAAGTGCCAGTGCCTTACCAGAGGGGGATGAGGTCCAGATAATTTCGTAGCCGTGACCGGAAGCTGCACCATCACTCCTGAAGCGCAGGTAGAGCTCGTGGTTGCGGGAGAAGACGGGGCTCGGCAGCAGGGCTCCACAGTACGTGCCGAGCAGCGGTGAGCTGCTATCACGTCCATCTCTCACCTTTAAAAACGAGGCAAAAGTTATCCTTAAGCATGTTATACTTTTTTCTTCGATTTATCATTGCTATACCTTAGCATATAATAAAGTATAAGAACATTCAAGCAAAAGAAATACCCGTATGGAAAAAGGAGACAACTCAATATATTTACAAAATTTCTGACTATTAAGATATAGTTCAGACTTCCAGTCACGATGGCGGGTAGGTAAATGCGGTATCGCGTCCTCCCACAACCACATCAAAGTTACAACTAAACTACAGAACAACCATCATTCAAAACCACCTGAAATGAAGCTGAATGGAAGTCCTACAACTACGGAATTAAAGCAGCAGCCACATCCAGACTGGTAGGAGGGGTGGAGGCGCGATGGGGGGGGGGGGCGGCGCAGCGGCACAGCAGGCGGGCCCCACACCCACGTGTGGCGGATAAAAATCAGGAGGACACCTCGGCTGGGAAGGTCCTTCCTGAGGACTGAGGGGTCCCCGTCCCACACCAGGTGCCCCGCTCAGGGTTCCAGTGCCAGGAAGAGAATCCCCATAACTTCTGGCTGGAAAAACCAGCAGGAACTGAGGCTCAGGGAAGCTGACCTGGCTGGAGCCCCAGGCAGCTCCTTAAAGGGCCCGCGCACGGACTTATCGGACTCTCTCCCTCTAAGCTCGGAGGGGAGGCAGCTCGAGGGGCACCAGAGACACATAGGGAAGAACTGAGCTGTTTGGCTCTGGAGCGAGGGCTGGAGAGGGGGCTTTCTCCAGGACAAACATGCTGTCAGAGGCCTTTGTTCCTTTGGTGAGCCCTTCCCTGGGGCGGCAGACAGCCTCCATATCTGGGACTCCAGCAACCTGGCTCACACTGGTAGCCCCGCCCTGGTGACTCCCTGAGGCCCCGCCCCGCCCAACATTCAGGCCCATCTAAGCTGTTGCCAGTTGCTTAACCATAGGATTGGCCTGTCTTTGATCCTGCTTCAGGTTTTCCTAAATTCTTTCAAACAAGCAGCATCGGGTCTCAGCTAGCCCCATACCTCTCGTTAAGTAATACACAGAAACAAACACAGGGAGGCAGCCAAAATCAGGAGACAAAGAAACAGGTCCCAAATGAAAGAACAGAACAAAATCCCAAGAAAAGAACTAAGCGAAATGGAGATAAGCAACCTAACAGATGCTGAGTTCAAAATACTGCTTATAAGGATGCTCAATGAACTTAGTGAGGGCCTCAAGAGCATTAAGAAGGACCAGTCAGAAATGATGGATGCACAGTCAGAAACGAAGGAGGCACTAACTGAAATAAAGAATAATTTACACAGATTCAATAGTAGAGTACATAAATCCAAGAAGCAAACCATCGATTTGGAATATAAGGAAGCAAAAAACACCCAATCAGAACAGCAAAAAGAAAAAAGAATCCAAAAAAATGAGGATAGTGTAAGGAGCCTCTGGGACAACTTCAAGCGTGCCAACCACCTCCCCAACCAAAGAACTTATATGCATAACCAATGGACACAGACAACAGTGTGGGAAAAGGTGGGAGGGGGGTGGGAGTGGGGAGGAGGGGGTCAATGGGGGAAAAATGAGGAACATCTGTAATACATTCAACAATAAAGATTTAAAAATAAATAAATAAATAGATAGAAAAAACAAAGATATATTTTAGTCCTGGCCCATGTTGCTCAGTGGTTGGAGCATGAGCCCATGGATTGAATAGTTGTGGTTTGATTCCAGTCAAGAGCACATATTTTGGTTGCACTTCGGTCTTCGGCCCTGGTCGGGATTGTGCGGGAGGGAACCAATCGATGTGTCTCTTTCACATCGATGTCTCTCTCTCTCTCTCTCTCTCTCTCGTTCTCTCTTTATCTCTATCTATCTATCTTTATCTCTCTCTCTCGTTCTCTATCTCTCTCTATCTATCTATCTTTATCTCTCTCTCTCTCTCTTTCTCCCCCCCCTTCCTTCCCTCCCTCCCCCCGTCTGAAAAAATAGATAGAAAAATATCCTCAGGTGAAGATTGAAAAAAAAAAAAGATATATTTTAAAAACATATATTTCAGCTGAATAGATTTATTTTTTAATTCACTGCATGGAGCAGACACATACAAAACCAGGAAGTGAGTCTGCATAACCACATGCACACTGTGGACTCAGCCCTTCTGTCCTGGGGCCCGGCTCCTGCTGAGCTTTCACAACCAGCCCGACTCCAAGGGCGGCTCCAGGAGCTGCACAGGTGATGGTTTAACATGGACTCAAAATCTTGGAAGTTCCTCCATTCCCTTTATAATCTTCTAACTTAACATTCAGTCAAGTTCTGATTGTCCTAAGTCATAGATTGTCTTCAGGGGCCCAGGGGCTCATCTTGCTAGGCTGTGTTGATCTGCAGAGGGTCCTTTTAGGTCTATGTAGGAGCCTATGGGAGAGAAGAATGCCTCTCTGGTGCTTTCTGGAGTATTCTGCCAAGTGTTCAAACACAGCGCCTTGCCATGGATGCAGTGGCCCGTTACCTACCAGGAGGCAGAGATGGGGGCCATATCCAAGAATGCAGGGGGGCCAGACCCGCCACCACTATACTCTTGGCTTTGGATCGCTTTCCTGTTGCTTATCTTTTAGAAAGCTGACGCTCTGAGAGAAGAGTGAGACATTAATTCCCACTGAGCATGCGAATAACTTGTCCTACTCATTTTTCCCTTCACAGGAACCATGAGAGCATGTCTGTGGGATGTCAGAGGACCCTGGAAAGGCAGGCACATGTTCTGAAGACAAATGCAGTTCAAAATGTGATCTGGGGCTTGGCCTTGGCGTGGTTTGAATACGGCCGGAGTCCTCAGACACGTCCGTTCCTGCCACCGTCCCCATGGATGGAAGGCTGAGGAGGGCTGCCCCGTGACAATGTCACTGACTTGCCACCCGGATCCAGACACAGCTGCACGGACAGACCTAAGCCACAGTTTCCTGCCTCTGCTTGTTGGACAGGCGGTTTCAGACCCCTTTATGGGATAAGGGAGGACAGCTGGGAGGAGACGTCCTCACGGTCAGTGCTCGAGAGCTGGCCTTCACCTCGCGGTGCACAGGACTAAGGGCAAACATCAAAAAGGATGGTCAACTCAGCCTTCAGGTGAGCGGGAAGTAACTGCATTTGGATTCCAAAATGCCAAGAAAATTCTGTCCTTCCTCCGTATCCATCCCTTCCCTTGTTTCTGCTTTGTACTTCATACAAATGTTTACATTCCGTGGTGGGTGAGGTACACAGATCTGAGTTTAACACCCTGATCGACACAAACGATCCTGTATTTCTCTCCTCCTCTTCTCCAGGTTCCTACCATGGCGAGTATTCCCCAGGAAAAGGGCACGGGCTTCCTCCCAGAGCTTGTCACACAATAGGCTAAGAATATTCATTAACAAAGGACTTAGATGAGTTCTATAGGGGACAGCTTTCCAGACAGATGAAACTCCACAACAGGTGTGAAGGAGTGAACAGACCATTTGGAAACCTTACGGAAGACTCTCGTGTACCTGAAACACGGAGCAGAGGAATTCAGCATCCTCTGCGTGGACAAGTTTATTTCCTAAGAATGAATTCATTTTCCACAGAGTTGGCCAAGGACACCCAGGTGAGCTCTGGGATTTTTATGGCAAAGCAGAGGCGCTGGGCTCCATGGACAGCCTGCGTGAGCTGTGGGCTCATTGGAACGTCTTCCCCGACCCCGAACAACAATGTAACAGTCCTCAGTCCCATGATGTGCGTGATGTGCAGCAGGAAGGACGCAGAGGGTGCTCCTCTGGTGCTCCGGGTAACCACAAAGGTGCAGGAGCTCGAGGAGCCTGGCTCTGCCTGCTCCAGGCCCAGGAGGGTTCTCTCCCCTTGTGTTTGAGGAGGAGGATGGAAAACTGCAAAGTTGCATCTCTGTCCATTAGAGCTCTCCGGTCGTGGTTGAGGAGAAAGGAACAGCACATTCCTCCTTTCTGTGCCGAACACTTGGTCAAGGAATCGTTCACCTTAGAGAATACCGAAGATGCCCATACTTACTGTGGCTGTCAGGGAAATTGGGCTATTTAGTATCATCTGGTTTTATTTTTATGTCCACACACAGCACATTTATTAAAGTCAGTGCCATGGTTCAGCCCCCAAATCAGCACTTTGTTCTTGGACATCCCTCTGGGCCTTCCAGTCTGAGCTCACACATCACTTCCTACAGGAAGCTTTCTCTGTCCCGGAGGTGACTGTCAGTCCTTCCCACACTGTGCAGGACTATTTCCTGTCTGTCCTTCCCACTGGACTACGCGCCTCCTGGGAGCCCTATTGGATTTCTGCTGCCTGGCCACAGAAGATGCTTGCTAAGTATCTGTGGACTGCAATAATACTGAATAAATTAATGAAATGAGAAAGGGATATTTTTTTAGTGATAGCAGAGAAAAAGCCAAAAGAATCGGAAGCGGTCCATCATCTTTCCAACAATTCATTTACATGAGACCCAAATGCATGTTACCTCCAAGAAGTCATGTCTGCATTCACTTGAGTCCTCGACGCCGAATGAATGAAAGAAGAGGGAAATGGTGTGGTTCTGTGGGGCTGTGAGCGTCACGGTGCAATCCACGTTGCTGCTGTAGTCTCCGGGCCACCCGGGACTCCTCAGATTGCCAAAGGCCTTGTTATAGTCTCTGTTACAGCCTTAGAGAAAAACATAATCACAGTGGATGTATGTGTCCCAATAGTCCGTTCCTTCAACCTGACAGGAATAGTTCCCAAAACTGCTTAAATTGAAACACTTTAGGAGAAAGCTAACCCAGCCTCAGCACTTGTCTTCGAGGTCGCTGGGCTCCGGGGGTGAGGTGAAGGGCGCATGGGGAAAGGCAGCGCCCCCACGTGAAATGTGAAGCAGGAGCCCTCGCCTTTGAAGACCGGAATTCTAGAATTCTCTGCGCTTTTTCTGATCGCACTGAGGTGGCTGGCTGATATTTAGACCCTTTTTAAGGAAAAAGTCTCTACCTCCAAGACAGAGTCTTGTACGCGGACTTTCCTTTAAGTCCTCTGGTGAACTCTTCGTTCTGATAGAACGGGCAAATTGTTGTTCTTTACCATTTTGGGTAAAACATCGAGGATTTTTATTTGTTTGTTTTAATCAAAGGCAGTGTTCGTTTTAATCAGGTTCGAAATGAAAGTCAAATAAAGTGTCCTCTGGAAATAAACCTCTCAGTCTTAGTAATTAAAGAGCCCTTTCAAAGCCTCTTGGTTTTGACACAATAATTTCCTAAGATACGGTGATTTCTGTTCATGTTTAAGTGGATAGTTAACAAAATAATGAATAATTTTAAATTATGTAACGACATGAACTGGGAAGCATATGCTGGTATACTAAACATTTTACTTAGCATTATAGTCCCTTACCTCTTTGGAAACCAGCTTCTATAATTTCCTACACGGGGCCCAGGGTCCAGAGAAGAGTCTTAGCTCATATGGGCGTGTGTTAGCAAACCCTAATTTACTCACAGGGGTCCATTCTAGCAATAATTGTAGTGACGGCAGATTTTCTGTACAAAAATTAAAGTTCCAGGGCTCACCTGCAATCTGATAGGTAAAACCCACCCTGGAGTTGTTGCTAGAAACTTCAAATCTGAACATGACAACCGCAGTGGTCGTAGAAGAATAAAACGTTGGCACGGCTGAAGCATTTCTGCCACAGAAGTGAATTCTTGGGTTTCCATCGCTCTGAAAGGAAATGGAAGCCAAATAACATTAGATTTTGCTTCGAAAGAGAATTGGCTGTCGCAGAAATCAAATGCATATAAGTATATGCTTATATTCAGCCATGGAAACTAGTTAGTGTTTGAAGCACTTGGCAATAAGACTGACATTGGCCTTGAAATCCACAACTGTCTCCCATTCTCTGAGGGACAGGAAGCAGGAGGTCAAGTTTATGCTGAAACCACCAGTCAGATACTTGCCTCCTAAGAGCGAGACCCTTCCCCTCTCTTCATAGCCACAGTCTGTGCCCTTGCTCTGAGCACCTCACTGTCCAAGCTCACTACAGTTCTTCCACTGGGGTTTTCCATAGTCGGGACTAACCCAGCACTGCTCCTAGCCCTTGCTACCCCTTAGCAAATCTAACCAGAGACTTCGGTACTGCTATGACCCACAAGGCTACTGGCGCCTGTGCTGAGATCCCTGTTCCCCCTTTATAACACCTGACAGCCCCTATCGCCTTCCAAGTGGATAGGATAAAAGTCAAATCCTATCAGCCCTTGCATAGGACAGCTTGTATCAAGTCAGGACATCTGCGGCCCCTCACACAGGTATGGCTCACACACCTGTAGTTCTCGGTTATCTACTGAAAGGCGCACTCCTGCTACTGATCTGTGCTTCTTACCCATACCATCTCCTGCTGCTGGTCCTTCCCTAACCTTGCCTGCTGTATCCTCCAGCCTGTAGCTGCACTGTTAGCCACTCCTGTGCGCATCCTTAGCCTTTCCACTTGGTGGCCTCGGTGAAACCTGAGTCTCTGGCAGCCTCCTGATGGAGGCCATTCTTCCCCCGACTCCATTTACTGAGTAAGGATGGGGGAGGGGCGAGCAGGGATTCCCAGGCTGCTCCCTGCAGCACATGCCCTTGCCTCAGAGCCAGTTCTCCTCTGAGGGTCTCTACCTCTGGCCAAAGACACCCTCTGATCCTTCTCATCATTCTCACTTTCTCTTTGGTTCCTTCCCTTTGTTAATTCAAGACTTGTTGTATTTTAGCTCAAGTCATTTTATGAACCATTGGAGGTTTCAGTGTTCTTACAGAGAACCCATTAGACATCCTCATTTGCATTCCTTAACACTAGTGACTTTCCTCTAGACTCTCTGTGGTTGCCTTTCCCAATGCCAGCCACCCGGTCAGATCTCATTACTATCTGCAACGCCTCCACCATGTGACTCATTCGTGGTCTTCCAACTCTATCTTCTCTTTCCCCTTTTGGATACCTTGGGAGTTCCAGTTTTTCCCAGTGAGCAGTCAATTTCTAATCTCTTCTCCCTCCCTACCCAGGCTGAAACCCTTTGTTCCTTCCTTTATTCGTTCAGCTGAAGGACATCATTCATGACAAATACTGAGACTTGTTTGAGGCCAGTGTGGCTGTCGTTGGAACACAGAGCTGCCTGTGCCCCGTGAGCATGCCTGCACCCAGATGGCAGCCTGCCCTGGTCCACACGGGGAGATCTGGATTCCTGAGGCAGCGGGAAACTAAAAGAACTTTAACAAAAGGGTTGTGTTCCACTTGGCCCTGAGGCCCTCCAGGAAGGGTATCACTGGGATATACAAATCTGAAAAGCAACAGAAAGATGATAAGCTAGCATCTCAACTCAGGATGCCCCTGAGCATAGGACGTCCCTCAGTATCTCTGCTCTGTAATAATTCAGCAAACCCAGTGTCTGCTCAGCAGCCAGTACGTCTCAAACCTCTGTCCACATGGGAGTCAGCCTCCACCAAGACACATGAGCAGTGCAGGAGACCCGGGTTTAGAATGAGGAGGACTTGAAAACAAGAAGTGACAGAATGGATCCTCTACAGTAGTCAGTCAGCACATGGGGGTTTGAACATGACCCTCCTAAAATGAACTGGGGCAGATGGATAATCTCCCCAAACTGCAGAGAGACCATTCCAGGCATCCCCAGGGGTTCCCCCAGGCATCCGTCCTCAGTTCCTGACTCCTCACTTTACACACGGTCCCCAGATAATCTCATTACTCTTATTGTTTTAACTACTGACTCATATGAGGATGCCAAGCAAACCTTCAGGTCTTCTTTCGCTAGCACACATTCACGTCCAACTGTCTCCTCCAATGCCCCAACCCACGGGCAATGCTGACTGGTTTTTAACACCAAAACAACCTTTTTTTCCCCATCTTTTTCCTCTCTTACATTAATATAAATATAGTCCCACTGGACGGGGGTCAAACGCCTCTTAATTGATTTCTCGGAGTTCTGCACTGACCCCTTCAACTCACCCTATACATAGATTCCACTAATTATCAAAGTTCTTCTCCAAGCATGGCCCACAGAACACCAGTATCAGAACACCAGAGATGCTCATCAAAAATTCAGAGTAATGGGTGGCTCTGTGGGGGATCAGTGTCCGAGAGAGGGGTCCAGGGGAATACACTTGTATCAAGACACCCAGATGTTTCTCATGCACATGAAAGTCTGAGAGCTCCTGACCTAAGGACCAAGTCCAAATTTCTTAACACCTAAATAGAGGATTCATATATAGCTGGAAAACACATTAAGCTAGAAGCAACTTGGACAATTTATTTCATTATACCTCCATTACTTCAAGTGCTCTGCAAGTGGTGGTAAAAAGGTCACTAGATGAGAATGTCACTCAAACGATAATTATTACCTCCGGTGCATCCTGAAACTCTAAGTAATTCCGGTGGCAGTCCTGGAAGGACAGCTGTAATGCCCACACAGTTATCTCAACCTGTTGGTGTGGAGGAGCTTCGAAGACCCACGTACAGGTGGAAAGTGGGGCGTCTGGGTTTGATAAATTGGGTGACGAAATATTTTGCGGCGTCCAAGTTGCATTATATGTTCCACCACAAGTCACTGAGATGGGAAAAAAGAGCAACTTATAAGATAAATTTTACTCATGTCGAATCACATACATGATATGTAAATTTCTGCCTTCCCTACCCCTCCAGCCCACAGGAATATATTTGCATCACTCTATGAAGAATTGGAATATATATTCTCGACTCAGAACTATACCAAATTTGTATCGTGAATTAAACAGAGTAATTAACATGGTGTTTAGTAATTGACATTGAACTTGGATGACAATTAACATTGAGTTTAGTAATTAACACTGAGTTTAGTAATTAGCATTGAGTTTAGACATGTGTGACATGATTTTTAGTGCATAACTACACAAGTTTCATGATATATAAAAATATCTCAATTTACTCACTGTCGATAAAGGTATATGTTGCATTAAATCCTTCCCTTTCTACAGTTCCGTCGCTGACAAATTGAACTGTCAGGAAGTTACCAGAAGAGACGAAGGGAGCAGGAACAGAGGAGCCACAAAAGGTTCCAACCAACTTGGCGTTTTCACTCTGCCCATCATATAACTGCAAGGAAAATAATTCATTAGCTCTCCGTCATTCACACAGACGTTGCACATTTTACGGTGACACGGATGTGACGTCCCAGTAGGTCATGATGAAGAATCTTACATTGATGTTCATAGAGTTAGTTTTCATTTAGGAACAGCTACTAAATCGATTATAATGAAATGAGTTTCAGTAAAAACCTGGTGTGATGTCTAAAATTTTTTTCTAATTGAGAATAATATATGAGTTTTAAAATACGTAATGTGTTGCTTGACTCAGTGGATTGCTCATCATCCCATAGACTGAGAGGTCCCAGTTCAATTCCCGGTCCAGGCACATGCCTGGGTTGTGGGCTCGATCCTCAGTAGGGGGCGTGCAAGAGGCAGTCGATCCATGTTTCTCTCTCAAATTGATGTTTGTATCTCTCTCTCTCTCCCTCCCCCTCTCTCTAAAAAATCAATAAAAACATTTTAAAAAATTATTTAAAATACATAAAAATAATGTGTCATTGCAGTCAGCAAACCCATCACTACCCTCACACTCGCTCTCACTACCACCACCCCTGGCCTGGGTTCCTACTGCAGCCTCCTGCTTCCACACTTGTCCCTCTTTAGCTTGATCCCAACACATCAGCCAGAGGATGCAGTTACAGTGGAAGTCAGGTCAGGTCAGCACTCCGCTGAGCCTCCCCACCGCTTCCCATCCACTCAACACAAAGCCAAGCCATGGAGGCGGCCTCGAAGGCCCCACGGAGTCTGCTCTCCACTCCTGCCCCTGACCTTTTCACTCTGTACCTTACTGTCTCCACTTTCTTTTCTCTGCTCCTTGAGCAAATCAGGTGCATGGCTGCCTCCTGGCTGGTGTTCCCTTTGCCTGGGACACTCTTCTCCTATGTGACCGTGTGGTCATTCCCTTTCGCTCCTTCAGGTCTTGACTCAAACATCGAGTCAGTGAGGCCACCCTGACTGCCCCATTTACAGTGGAAACGTTCCCGACACTCTCTTCCTTCTCTCCTGCTTTCCGGTTTCTTTAGCGCGGGCGTTTCCTTGACCTACTGCACGTGTGACTTATGTCCTTGTCTCCGTTCTGGGGACTGCAGGTCCCGTGAGAGCACGGGTTGCTGTTTGTTCTGTGCATTGCGGCCCCGTTCTTAGAGGAGTGTCTGGCACACAAGAGGCACTCGGTAAATAGCTAATAAATGAATAGTGCTTCGATTCCTCTCTTCCAACACCCCCCCCAACCCTGTTCTTTCCCAGACCTCTTCATATCAGTAAACGTCTCTAGCCTAAAACTTCAGTCATCCTTGATTCCTGTCTCTCTCCCCTACCCGACATCTATTCCGGGGGACCTTCCAAACCTACCCCAGAGGGCCCCACCTCCATGGTGCCCACTATTGTCCTTCACCTCCTCTCTCCGAACATCTTCCCGATGGATGTTCCGGAGCAGTGTTCCCCTCCGGGCTGCCCAAGTGTTCACAATACATCCTATCGTGCCCCTGCTTGGCCTAAAGTGCCTTAGGGGTTTCCACTGCACTTAATGTAAAACCAAACTCTTTGTGGGGGGTTGCGAGCCCCTGCCTGGTCTGGCCTGGGCCGGTCCTCAGCCCCCCTCCCACTACCCTGCTTCTTGTAACTTCCCCATCTGGAAGAGCCCCGCCCAGCCCCAGGCCCCACCTCACTGTCCTCCCACCAGAAGCACCTCCTGGGCTCTTGCACAGACCACACTCACCAGGTCTCAGCTCAAATGTCACTTTTTTTTTTTTTTTTATCCTCACACGAGGATATTTTTCCATTTTTTGTACAGATAGAGTGGGAGGGAGAGAGAGGAAGGGAGAGAGAGAGAAACATCGACGTGAAGGGACACATCGAGTGGCTGCCACCCGCACGACCAACCAGGGCCGGGGACAAACTGCAACCGAAGTACGTGCCCTTAGCGGGAACCGAACCCGGGTCTCTCCGGACCGCAGGTCAATGCTCTAACCGCTGAGCCAAACTGGCCAGGGCTCAAATGTCACTTTTTGACAGAGGCCAACCCTACCTAACGTGCCCCCCCCCCAGTATCTTCCTCTTCTATTTTCTATTTTTAATCAAAACTTGTCTCATTTGTTGCTTATTTACTTCTTCTGGTCCCTCTCCCAACAGGACTGTAAATGCCATGGGTGGGAAGGCTGATTATTATTCACTGTGGTTTCACGAGCACCCAGAACAAGCCCCAGCCTCAAAAGCCTTCGACAAATGCCTTCTGAAATGGTAGATCCTTGGATTTCTGTCAATTATTAGAAAACAAAGTTTTCTCCAGCTCAGTATTCTTCATGGTATTTCTAAAGTCATTATGTGTGTAGATCTAAATATTTAATTTCTAAAAGAACTATGGTCTATTATAAACCTGAGAACAGACATGACCACCACTATTTTAAAATGTTAGGAATATATAAAATAGAAACAGTGAAAAAGAAGTAAGCAAAATAAGCCAGTCAGATAAAGACAAGTATCACATGATCTCACATATTTGTGGAATCTAATGAACAAAATAAGCTGACAAACAAAATAGATGCAGAGACGTGCAAGTAAAGAACAGACTCACAAATCTCAGAAGGAAGGGGGTTGAGGGTGTGGGAAGAGAAAAACCAAAGAACTTATATGCATATGTGTACAACCAATGGACACAGACAACAGTATGGTGAAGGGGGAGGGGTGGGAGTGGGGAGCGGGGTGTCCATAGGGGAAAAAGGAGGACATCTGTAATACTTTCAACAATAAAGGGGAAAAAAGTAATTTCATAATAAACAGAAGACAACATTACCACTAGATGGCACTGTCTTGCCTGCTTAAACACAATGCTAATAAATTCAGAGCCAGAAGAGATTCAAGAGTTGAGTCATCTACCCCTTCATTTTATAAAAGACTAGTTTGGCCAAGTTTTAGCTAATGTACTTTTTCTGGTCAGCAAATTAAACTTGTATTATAAACGCTGCTGCCTTTATCAGCACATTCATATTAGCAGCATTTTTATTCTATGTACTGTGTGCCTGCCTCTGTGCTAGGCCCTATACATTCAAGGGTGTATCAGGCACTTCCCATACATTCAAGACACTAATTTTACACTCACAAATCAGTGTGAGAGAGATCCTTAAATTAAACATACATGCATATCTGTGCGTGTGTATTATACATAAAATAAAATAAATGTTACAATCAAAAATGTAATGTAATAGGGGGACCCAGGTGACGAAGTCAGGAAAGACCTCACACAGACATTTGAACTGTTATTTAAAAGTAAGTGGAGCCCTTCCACCCTGGAGAAGAGGCAGCAGATGGAACGTGATGCAGATCACAGGAGCACAGAAGGGTGGCTCGTCTCAGCAGCTCACCCTTCGATGTGCCTGGAGATTAGGGTGAGAGGACGGAATCAGGGCTGGGAAAGCACTTTGAGGACAAGACTGAAGTGCCACACGTTTCCTGCCAAGCAGTTTGCATCTTCTCCTGTAGGAGCTATACAATCTGGTTTGGGTTTCGAATAAATAGCTGGTAACAGTGATGGACGGGAATTGTATAATGCCCGGCCTCAAGCTGGTGTTTGCAGGAGTTCATTCACTATCACAATAAGATTTCTCTTAACTGAGATGAAATAGACAGGCTGTGGCCTCTGGACTACTGACGTGAGCTCCTGGACTTCTTGGAGCTGAAGCCAAGATTTCCTCCATCTGCTCCACCATTCACAGTGGAGTCTACAGCTGCACTGTGGACTTCGCGGGGTAGCTCCAGTGTAAGGGGGTGCACTGTACAGTGCCGGGGATGGGAACCATTGGACTAGGACATGAGCGGTGCCCTGAGGACCTGCACAATCACTGCCTGCTACCTTTCCCGTCACTCATTGCTCTGTGGGCACATATACTGCCGGGCACAAGTGCTTCCGACCTGGAGCTCAAACTGCGTTCTAAGTCTTATAGATGTAGGTGAGTTCTGAGTAGAATTTTGTGTTTTCTCAGCTTTTAAAACTCTTTGATAGTGGAGCACATGAGAGTTGACTTAAGATCCTGAAGGAACTATACAGATGATTCAGTGGGAGACAGCCTCTGACTACAACGGATGCAAGGTCCTGTACTTTATCCTGACATTAGTTCGAGCAATGGAAGAAAGTGGGGAAGGAAATGCTTGAATTTTAATTTCTATGAACTTTCAATGCAAAAGGGCGATAGATTTGATATTGGACTGTAATGCTTTCCCATTTAACTTCATTTCAGACATTAATTTTCTTAGGACTTTATCTTTTTATATTTTCCTGGGAATTTGATGACAGAAAGATTTTTATATTCTTTTTTTTTTAATTTATTTTTTCTTTATTGATCTTAGAGAGAAGGGAAGGGAGAAGGAGAGATAGAAACATCAATGAGCAAGAACATCGATTGGTCACCTCCTGCACGCCCCCCCGAGGATTGGGCCCACAACCTGGGCATGTGCCCTGACCAGGGATTGAACCAGCGACCTCTTGGTGCCTGGGTCGACCAATGGGCCACATCAGCTGGGCGATTTTTATATTCTTATTTGGAACCTCTCTACATTGCATTTTAGAGTATCCTCACAAATTCTTGCTTTCATTGAGGAGCCTCTGCTAGTCTGCCAGACAACATGCTGGGGCATAACCTGGGATGCAAAAAAGAATACAGAGAATTTTTCAGGTTTAGGGCTGAATTCTGACCTATTTCAGAACCTTCTGGGGAAAATGTTATACTGGTCCCAGTGGTCTCAGGAAAAGCCACAAGAAGCAATGATTTGAATTAGCTCTATAAATACAGGAATTTTTATATTATTATTATGGTTATTACTATTATTATTGTTATCTCAATGTTCTTTTCCAGTACTTGTAAACGTGTCTGGAACATAATGGGTACTCAAATAAACATGTATTGGAGGAACCAGTGAATGAATGAATGAATGAATGAATGAACGAACTAATAGTAGGTACTGCCTCATAAAGATAGGAACCTGATACCTGGATAGGTGGTTGGTCTCCTCCCCAGAGATGAAGACCCCCCTTCTCAGTGGCTGACCACAGACTGACGCCTAGCTCAGTGGGTTAAGACAGGTGTTCTCAGTGGGGGATAGAACTGTCCGTAGGGAGTGTTTTGCAAAAGTTTGGTGTTTCCTGGTCATCACAATAATTTGGTGATAAAACTGGCATTCAGTATTCAGCAGCCACATGGCAGAATCCCATCTGGTACTTCACAGAAAAATTCTGCAAAGTGAAGGCTTATTCTGTGTCCCACATAATCAAATCCTGCCAGACATTGTGTGTAAAAAAACTGTTGATAATTATTTCAACCCAGAACCTAAATCTATTCAATATTTAAACACAAAATTATGCTTGCACAGTTTTAATAATCACTAAATTTCCAAGAACACGATTGCTGAGTAAGCTGAGGGAAGAGTACTCTTTGTTCTCCTTATAACTGGTTTATGTTAGTTTTTCCAACACTCAGAAATACGTATTGCAGATGGTGATACTCCTATTGATTTAATGTACAAATATGGCCTCCCCCTATGAGTTTAAATTTATACTTTTACATTTGCCATGATTCCACATAGAAGATTTGACTACTTTATCATCTGACTTGGTGTAGTTGTGACAGAGAATTGATATATTGAAATAAGTACTATTTTATATACTTTCCTTTAGTTTCTCCTTTTCATTGTAGTTAATACATTATATTGAGTTTTTGGAACTATGTATATGGGTAGGCTATAGCATTGTTGACTTTCACTTTGTATGGTCAAGGAAGTATTACAAAATAGTGTTGGGACTATGGAAAACACTATGGTGTTACCTCAAAAAATTAAAATTGAACTGCCATTTGACCCAGTGATCCCACTTCTAGGAATATATCCTGACAAGCCTGAAACACCAATCAGAAAGAATATATGCACCCCTATGTTCATAGCAGCACTATTTACAATAGCTAAGATCTGGAAACAGCCCAAGTGTCCATCAGTAGATGAATGAATAAAAAAGCTGTGGTACATGTACACAATGGAGTACTATGCAGCTGTAAGAAAGAAAGATCTCTTATCCTTTGAGACGACATGGAGGGACCTGGAGAGTATTGTGCTAAGCGAAATAAGCCAAGCAGAGAAAGACAACTACCACATGATCTCACTTATTTATGGAATATAATGAACAAATAAGCTGATGAACAAAATAGACCCAGAGACATAGAAGTAGGGTGTAGACTGACAAACCTCAGAAGAGGGGAGCCAGGGGGAGGGAAGAGATAAACCACAGAACGTACAGTATATGCATGTATTCATAACCATAGACATAGACAATGCTGGGGGTGGGGGGAGGCAGGGTTGGGAGGAGGATGTCAATGGGAGAAAAAGGAGAAACATCTGTAACAAAAATTTAAAAAACAAACAAACAAAAATCATGGTGGAAAATGTCAGGAAGAAGGCATCTCCTTTGTGCTAGTTCCTGATTTCCTGGCAGAGACACTCAGCCAGGTCCCTGTTCTGAGCCCTCTCTGCCACTTCCCTCACTGCTCACCACAGGGGAGAGACTTAACCAATAGGAGTTTGGTTCAAGAGGCTGGGCCTGCTCTGTGCAGCTCGCAGCCCCTCGGTCTCGCCTTCTCTTCGTAGCCAGCCTCCCACAGGAAGCATGCCTTTGTGAAATTCCTCTAAAGCCCAGCTCAACAATCCCATCTAGGAAGTCTTTCCTGACCTCAAAATGACATCAACTGTTCTGCTTTTCTACATTGTTCATATTTATCATTTTGTCACGTTATATAATGATTTATGTGCCTACATGTCAGTCTTCTCACTCTACAGCAGGGGACAGCGCCCAGCACATAAAGATGCCACGTGACTCTTTATGGAGTGGATGTGATGTTAATTCAACAGCAGCCACTCAGTGAAACACACAATTAATGTGTACCTTAATAACTTCCAAATCAACCCTTCAAAAAAAAAAAAAAAAAAGTGATATAATCATGGGTGAATAATGGAATTGGCAAATTTTCACTTGCTTATCTACCTCCAGAATTGAATTAAGTTAGTTTTGCTAAAATGGGATTTGATTTTAATATCTATGAAACAATCTAAAAGGAATCAAATGTTTCATTTGTCACAGAGAATCTTTTTAATAAAGAGACCTCCAGGCTTCCCATACCAAGGGGTGCTCTTTTATCTGCCCATTCAGTATAAGCTGAAAAACTTGCCAAGTGAGGAAAATTAATTTCCCAAGAAGAAAAGTAAGAGCAGATCTGAACAGAATTTCTTAGCTTTTAAATTATATCTCGAAGCTAGAAAATAATTTCTTGTTTTCAATATTGTTATTTTTGTCTTAAAATTACCAGTTGCCTTTAATGACATTATCAAATCACAATCTTCTATATGGGAATGGATCTTGAGAATAAATCCTATCAACCTTCCCAGCAGGACCAAACCAAACACCCTACATGAATATATATTTAAAACCATGTATATGCAAATCAGTTATTTGTAATATTTTAAAGAAAGAAGATTGTATAGCCTCATGCCTTCTATAACTTCACAAAGGGGAAAATAAAGAAAGAAACTTGCTTACAAAGTACATGTCAGGCACAATGCTGAATAGTCCAGCACATATTATCTTTATCCTCAAAAGAGTTTTGCAAGGCAGGTATGAGTATGTGGTTTTTTGTTTGCTTTTTAATAGATGCAGTGATAAGAATCAGGGAGATACAAAATTTGTCAGGTGGCAAAATTGGGTTTAAGTGCATATCATCTGTCCCTGAAGCTCATTATCTTTCTGTAAAGTCAAGGCAACTCTCCGACTGTCTTGAGCATCAGCCTTACTGCTGTTCCCGGCCCTTTTGGTCTCATTTCAGAAAGGAACAATTCAACCCGAACTGACATTTCTTGTTATCTCTCGTTTTTCATGAACTCCCTCTGATCCTGCTTCTGTGACAATACCTTATTTAAAGTTGTCAAGCAATCTAATGAGTTTTTCCTTCATCTTAACCTTCCCTGGCCTCTAATTTACAATTCACGAGTACTGACCACCCATCCTTGATAAAAGGCTCTCTACTTGACTTCAGTGATGACACGCGACTATTCCTAGTTTTTGTGGGTTTTTTGGTTGGTTGGTTTTTCGTGACTCTTGTTTCTTGTCTTTCGTTCTCCAGCTACCTCACTGTGAACCGTTCTGGGTGGGACCCCGGCCTTCTGGATGCAGGCTGCCCCCTACAGGAAAGCACCATTTCCCCTGATTTCAAAAGTGCTCTTTGGCTGTCTCTTCTCTGTTCTGTTTTCTTGCTGCTGGCCTGTGCCATCCTCTGCCCACAGGCAATGCCATCTGTCTGCCCTGCTACGAGCCAACCTGAACCAATCCCTAACAAAAGCATGGTTTCTTCCTAAAGCTGGCATTCTTCTGCTCTCCTAAGGGTTGGTGCTTATCGCAGTGAAAATACGAGACGGTATGTAATTAAGTACTCAGCTGTGTATTCCACCCATGACTTTTTTTTAATTTAACATGATTTTGAACTTCAAAGCTTTTCTTGCCCCAGGTTTGCCATCTCTACCATCTCTGTACCCTCCGGACATAAGGTAACCTCACCCTGGGGCCCTCCCTCCAGGCTCTCCCTGTGACAGTTCACCCTGAATCTGGATTCCAGGTGAGACTTCTTAAACTCTGCTCTCAACACATCACTTGGATTGGAAAACCTTCAATCACTCTTTATTTTTAACGGCCTAAAATCCAGATTCATTTGTTTGACTTTCTTTTTTTTTTTAATCCTTACCTGAGGACATTTTTCTATTTTTTGTTCAGACAGAGTGGGAGGGAGAGAGAGGAACAGAGAGAGAGAGAGAAAAACATCGACGTGAAAGGGACACATCTAGTGGCTGCCACCTGCACAACCAACCAGGGCCGGGGACAAACTGCAACCGAGGTACATGCCCTTAGCGGGAACCAAACCCGGGTCTCTCCGGACCGCAGGCCGACGCTCATTTGTTTGACTTTCAAGATCCTTTATAGTCTGAGAATTCCTCCACTACACAATCTTGTTTCTGGCTGCTCTTTAGTAACATCTTGCTTTGATAAAGCCAGCCCCTCCACTCTTTCAAGAACAGGCACATTCCGATGTCTATGCCTTCTGTGTGTTCGGCTTGCCCACAGGGCCTTCTCCCCTGATGGAAGAAGCGTTCCTCTCTCTAAGAAGTCTTTCTTGTTCACACCAGACTGTCATTTAAACTTCCCTTTAAACTTGCACATTGCTTCGATCCTGTATCCAGTGCTTCAGTTAGCACTTTAGTTTTAACTATCTTGATGGCTTATTATTGATTTGCCTCTGCCGTCCTTACTTTGGTAATCAGATTTAACCTCCTCTTGGTCAGAAATCTTGCTATATCTGATATTTCCCCCTCAAGAATGTAGTAGTATATATTGATTGACACTACTTAAAAATTGAAATTTAAATTCATATAGCCTGATGGATACAATCATTTAATACTGAAGAGACATTAAAAAGTGAGAAGTCTCTTGATTTGTTTTTAATGAGATTTTAGGACTAAGATATTTTCCATATCTGAAGGCAATATGAACAGTGACTATATAAAACATACATTTTAAAAACAGATACATTAAGGGGTGATTATTTATATGCAGGATTTGCTGGGCCCCTTGATTATCTCTTCCGAAACAAGCTCATTCCACAGATCATCTCCCGATGAGACATGGATAAACAGTGACTCTTAAAGCTAATGCTAGAAGCCACACACGGTTTTTGAGTCATCTATATTAAATATTAATTTGATATGAAGAGAGAGCATCTGTAATATTACATATTATATCACTGAAGTACAGGTCATCTGAAAAGTTAGTGGCACTCACAATTTTCAAAAGTTCGTGTAGGTAGAAAGTGAAATATGGCATATGAACGTCTGGATGAGAAGACTGTAGGGCACTAGAACGGCCTTACCTTCACATAGTCATAAAAGCATCCTTGCAAGATAAATGCTGACTCCAGAGCAAACGTGTTGAAGGTGAGTTTAATGAGTTTGTTCACAGGTGCAATTATGAACCAGATGCAGTTTAGATGCTTGTCGTATCTTCCATGGGAATCAGAATCAGGAGAGGCGAAGGTGTGATCTGAGCCTGTCAGATAGCCACCGCATCCTTGCTGAGGCCCTGTGTTAAAACAGAGACGTCACTGAGCAGACTGAGGAGGATACATCTTACATTTCACATGGAGGCTTTACAAATTCCTATCGTTGCCCCGCTGGTGTGGCTCAGTGGTTGAGCGTCAACCCAGGCTGTGGGTCTAATCCCCAGGGGGGACATGCAGGAGGCGGCCCATCGATGTTCTCTCTCATCGATGTTTCTACCTCTCTCCCTCTCCCTTCCTCTCTCTTTAAAATTAATCAAGAAAAAAAAAATTTTTTTTTTTTTTAATTCCTATCGTTTCTGTTTCCTCTCGCACTTTTAGAACTAGCACCAGACTGCTCACTGAGATTCAGCGGGGACCTCCCCTTCTTCATCACTATTTCCTCTCCACTCCTCTGAACACTGGATTTGGTTTCATCCACTCCACAGCCTAAGCCAGTACCTCAGACGTGATGTAAGAAGGACATAAAAGGAAGAAAAACTACGGACAATTTCAAAAGAAACAGTGAGGATGAATTAAGCTCAAAATAGCCCTAAGAGGACCAGGGATTAAATAGATGCTCAAAGTAATGTCCATATAGCTTATATTCTATACAAATACAGATTGTTATTTCTTTCAAGGTTAAAACTCACTGACATTGGTTTCGCTTATTTTTCTTACTCCACATATTTAGCTGTCAACAGTGAAAAGGTTGCTTGCAACGTCAGGAGGTGCTAAGATGTGGGGCCTGGTGCTGGCAGGAAATACACACGACGGCAGAGCTCCCTGGAGACGAAGGCGACCTCCGTGCAGCCTTCTCAGGTCAGATGCGTGACCCAGTAGGTCAGACTGCCTTGTCCATAGCTCTCAAGTCAGGTCAAACTATAGACTACGGACACAGATGTTTTGTGCAGCTGAAATTCTTCCAAAGGCCCAGTCTCTGATATTTCCATATATGGTATCTAGGACAAAATTATTCTGAAACCAAAGCAATGCACAGTACTTCATGATATCACTCTAATAATTCCTTCCATGTTAAAGAGAACCGCGAACAAAAAACAAAAGGATTGGGGTTTGCATAGCTTTTATCTCGGTATCAACTGATTATTACTTTAGGAAACCACTTAAGCTTGTTGACGTGCGTAGCCAGGAAGTGCAGTTACTCAAGGTATTAATGAATTGATCGATTTATGTATTCATTCAATAAGTATTGTTTTAATAGTGACGGACATATATTTAGTGTTGAAGTGTGAGAAAAGATGACTAGCCATCCAATAGCAATGAGAGGACACAGATAAATGAGGATGCTACAATTAGAAACTGACAGGCGCCATAAGAGAGGCAGGAAAGTCATGAGAGTTGTGCAGAAAGGGGGAGATTACTTCGGACTCTGAGGACCTAGAATGTTCAAGGAGGAGGGGACATTTAATCTGGATCTTGAAGGATAAAAAGGATAAGACCTTGGGGAAGTGGGGTTGGTACCGGCGATTCCAGGCTGGAAGCACCTCGTGACCAAAGGTTAAGTGGACAAGAACTTACATGCAAAGGAAGCAAAATTCTGTTGGTGAAAACAACAGAGGACATGGAGGAGAATACTGAAAAGATTGGGGGACAGGCTGGGCTACTCTATAGAGGGCCTCAGTGTCAGAGTATAGGATTTTAGATTTTATTCTGTGGACAATGGGGTCCATTTGAAAGGTTTTTGATCAGAGGAGTGGCAGAGTCAGAACGTACTTTCTAGTCAAGTCTGATCTACATTTGTCCTGGTAGTAGCATTTACATGTCAGGGAGTAGGACTGGAGGAGATGACACCAGGTAAGAGGACATTGCCCTGGCCTGGGCTGAAGGTAGCAAGGGGCCATAAGGACTTGGAGGTTTGTATACAGGAAAACGCTTAGCTTCATTCTATTAATACATAAGCTCTAGAAAACAAAATGCTACTTTAAAAAATTCAAGCTATATATTTTATCACTACTTGCTTATTTTAATTGTTACTAATAAGTTAATAAGGGCAGAATGATAACTGTACTTGGGTACAGTAAGTGCCATTAAACACACTTATACAATACCACCACCACTACACTACTGCTGTTAATAATAACAATAATAATAATAATAAGATAGAAACACCCTTCTTCCTCCAAGGAACCCCAGAGCAAGAATCCATACATCGCTGGCATGCATTGGCACAGACTGAGTGACAGATCCGATGATTCTTAGTGCTTCAGTCCCTCTGTCTTCAGTGTCTCTCTCTGCAGTGCTCTGGCACGAACAGAGGATGTTTTTCTGTCCACTTGATGTTAGGCTTGGCCATGTGACTTGCCTTAGACATTGGAATGGGAGTGGTCACGAGTGGATGAGGCCCTAACAGGGCCGGTGTTTTTTGCTGGGCCTTTTGTACTCCTGTGACTCACCCAGAGCTCATGCCCCGGTGACTGCTGGTGGGAAGCAAAGTGGACACAGAGCGGACCTGAACCCAGCCTGAAGGCTGGGGCCAAGCAGTGAACCTGCAGCTGGGCACAGAGGCAGGAAACCCGTCCGCAGACGCATAGTGATAAAAATCAGTGCTCTAGGTACAGACCTCTGAAACCTGGATGGTGTGTTAGCCACTCTTACTCTGGCAATAACCGACTAATAAGTAGCTTGTTTGAGTTATCAAACTGTAATGAAGCACATTGCTTAATTCTTAAAATACACACACAAAACAATGACAATGAAAAACTAACATTATCACAGATAATCCTTTCCAAAATAGTCAAATAATTAAGCAAATAGAACATTATATGAGTGAATTATATAATTCACATTATATATGAATGTGAGTAAGTATAATATTATATGAGTGAATAGTCAAATGACTGAAGTAAATGTATAAGTAACATAAGGACCGTCACCTGTGAGTAAGCACCTTTGGGTGTTTGTATAGTACAGGAGCTTGTTATAATCACTCTGATTCCCCTACACTTTAAAAAAATTTTTTCAATGACAGTTTACATTCAATGTTATTCTGTATGTCTCTCCCGTCTTTCTATTTAAACATAGTACAAATGCTCTGTGCTTTTGCTCCTCCTATGGCAAAGGCAAACGTAAACAGGTGTCTTTCGAAACTATAAAGATGAATATTAACAAAAGAAGGGTTATCCATCAAAAAGTATTATTGCCACATTACTATTTTTACATTTCACCAATAGCTGAGTAGAATAGAACTCTAACTATAAAATAGTTACATGCTTAAGAAAATAATACAGCCCTGGCTGGTTTGGCTCAGCGGTTGGAGCATCAGCCCGTGGACCAGAGAGTCCCGAGTTCAGTTCCCGCTAAGGGCATGTAACTCGGTTGCAGTTTGTCCCCAACCCCGGTTGGGGTCGTGTGGGTGGCGACCACTTGATGTATCTCTCTCACATTGATTCTCTCTCTCTCCAGCTCTATCTGAAGATAAATGAAAAAAAAAAAAAAAAAAAGTCCTCGGGTGAGGATTAAAAAAAAGAAAATAATATATATTTACTATATTGATATTGTAAAATTCTCTTTTAAGACTTTAACCTTGCCGTGTGGTTTCGCAGCCTACATCCATCATCTTCCTTGCTACCGTGCACTTTGTAGCATGTGGCGAACTCCCATCCATCAGCACCCGCGTCAGTCCAGCCGAGTCGGAGGCGCTCTGTAACGTCACTCTAACCTCCCCCAAACTGGAAACACTTCCGACAAAAGAGCTACTTCTTCAGAGAAAGAAAGTGTTTGGCCACAGAAATATCGGAACTATAAATCCAGAGTAAGCAGTGAGATCTGGATCAAGATTTACTTAATTAAAAGTCAGTAACTGAATCCTAAATGATTTCTCTCCAATTATTAAACTTCAGAGTGAAGCTCGAGCCAGGATAAATCTGATAACGTAAGAAATAGCTATTTTATCTAGGCAAATCAGCTTGAAGGCTTTGTGGAGTCAGCTACATTTCTAAGTAGTTATCTTGAAAATTGACGTTTCTGTGGCTGACGTTACATGTGGCTGATGTTTCATTGGGGTCTCCCGGATCGCATTTCTATCCAACGCAGGACAACCAAGACTTGGACAAAGGGTGGATGGCTGGCACCTCACGAGGAAGACTGGCCTGACTTCAGGCACTTTCCTGTTCCCCAGGGAGCCAGCTGCAGCTTTCCCTTGTAGTTGGAGGAAGCTCAGTGATGCACAGGAAGCAGGACATAAAAGCATTCAGAGCTGTTGCCTGAGGGAAAAGGGTGGACCAAGAGGCCTGTGATTTTCAAAGCAGCAGTCCACAACTGCCCTGAAGCAGTGAATTCATTTAGAACATCCAATGAGGTTCCACATGGACCCATTTTGTCTTTTTCTCTAAAAGCAAACTGAGCATTTTTTCATATGTCTCTTGGCCATTTGTATGTCCTGTTTGGAGAGGTGTCTATTTAGCTCCTCTGCCCATTTTTTAATTGGTTCTCTGTCTTCCTTTTGTTGAGTTGTATGAGCACTCTATATATTTTGGAAATTAACCCCTTATCTGATGCATCATTGGCAATTATGGTCTCCCATATGGTGGGTTTCCTTTCCATTTTGATGATTGTTTCTTTTACTGTGCAGAAGCTTTTTAGTTTGATGTAGTCTCATGTGTTCATTTTTTCCTTTCTTTCTCTTGCCTTAAGTGTGGTATCAGTGAAAATTCTGCTGCCCACTATGGAAAACACTATGATGTTACCTCAAAAAGTTAAAAATTGAACTGCCATTTGACTCAGTGACCCCACTTCTAGGAATATATCCTAAGAAGCCTGAAACACCAATCAGAAAGAATATATGTACCCCCATGTTCATAGCAGCACTATTTACAATAGCTAAGATCTGGAAACAGCCCAAGAGTCCATCAGTAGATGAGTGGATAAAGAAGCTGTGGTACATGTACACAATGGAATACTATGCAGCTGTAGGAAAGAAAGGTCTCTTATCATTTGAGATGACTTGGATGGACCTGGAGAGTATTATGCTAAGCAAAACAAGCCAGACAGAGAAAGACAAATATCACATGATCTCACTTATTTG